TTGACATACTTTTGTTACATATGGTTCATTTTTCTATGCATCTTTGAAAACCACGTGTTCTGCTTCCGGTACACATATCTCTGCCCCTTTGACAAAAAGAGATGGCGGTACACGGTCTCCTATGATATCCGGGTCGAGGACTGTTGAAGGAGGGACGAATGCAGTAGACTGTGGTTGTGGTTTGAATTACGGTTAAACCATTACCCTTTTTCCTTTCCTGTAACATGTGAATCGACGTACACCGGAAGAAACGTATTTAAGTAATTGAATATTTTGATAAATTGACAATTAGCATAATTAAAGATATGTTAACATCGATACGAATATCACCTTAATAGTTTGAGAGATATACGATAAAACTATGTTTACTGCCGCTGGTTTCCCAGACCATCCTTCGAACACGGATTAAATATGGATGGATGGACAGGTATACGTCACTTGTGAGATAAAAACCAATATCTCCAAATCCTGAACAAAAATCCTCACGAATTAGTTACAGACACAAATACCCCCGTAAATTGTCCAGTACAGTTTACAAAAAACCTCATCGAGTTGCAGGACATGTGATCATCACTTACTCAGATATCATAGAGGTAATACTGAATTTATTTTGTATGAAAAAAACTCGAGAATTTCGTTTGTCCGTCGGGCGATTGTTTCAAAGTCAAATACCGTAGACAGAGGATCAACAACTGGAACGGTGTGTACCTATTACTGTAGAAAAACGTTCAAAGGGAGACAACTCGACAATTGTGTGCGTCTTTAACATTAACTACCCAACGATCCGCATCATAATGATATGGAAACCAAGAAGAGTTTAAAGGTAATCACCAGAAATATATATATTCAGAAATGTTCGCTAGTGGGAATCAAACAGTGAATTATGGAACGAAAAGCAAAGTTTCTGTCACATTTTTTGACGTCCACACACAAGAAGGTTACAAGGCATATCTAACAAACTTCTGATATTTTTTAGCCGGTTCCACAGAAACAGCACCAATCGCTAGACCATTAGTGTCTTTGTTAACAGTATGAAATTTTAAAAAATTGTCATAAAAATACTCATTTTACTAATACTAACTAAAAATAACAAACATGTAATGCTTTTCCCATTGTCCCGAACAGACAACTGAACAATGTACGAAATGATATCGGATTTATTTTCCGTTGAAGTGCTGAAAATATTGATACAATTTACAAACATAAAGTCACAATAGACCAAACTATTTCAGAAATGTGGACTGTATTCGGAATGCTCTTTCTCCAGCCACAGCAAAAAACACTTTTGTCACACATAGAAACCACAGCATCAAACTCATAATGGTAACAGTACTGTTAGAGAAAATTACCACAAAACTCGAAATATAAGAAAAAGACCTTTGTCAGAATAAATATTCAAGATATCGGAATCATGAGACAAAACACTTCTGTCGTATATAGAAACCACAGCATCAACCTCATAAAAGTAACACTTCTGTCAGATAATATTTCCACAAAACTCGGAACATAAGAAAAAGACTTGTCAGAAACAGCAACCAAGATATCGGAATCATGAGACAAAACACTTCTGTCATATAACAGTACTAAACAGCAGAATCAAAACAATATGCTTCTGTCAGAAAAAAAAACAAAAAACATTGGGATCTTAACAGTAAAAAACTTCTGTCACAAAAATCAACTAACACATCAAATAGAAGAAAAAAACACCTCTATCAATAAAAAAACAAAAGATCGGAATCATATGAAAAAGCACTTCTGTCACGGAAAAAGCAACCAAAGAATCGGAAACGTCAGAGAAAACGACCAAAAAAAAATATCAGAATGTTAAGAAGTTATCGCTGTCATAGAGCTACAGTGGCAACACAAAATACACAGAAAAACATAAAAACAAATTCACAGAAAAATGACTTCATCTCAGATAACTGTCAGCTTAATGGAAGCAGCCAATGAAAAATATACTAACTGGCTATGAACGAGAGTTTAGAGTTATGCCAAGTCAGGCGAAATATTCCCGAGTGCTATAGACGTTGCACATCTGCCAATTACAACCATACCCCGCAAAACTGCCGCATCAAAACACACCGAGATCAACAAACATTTATAATCAATCAATCTTATCTAAACTGTGTATGGCCGAAGTACTCAGCATTGATGACCTCTGGGATCTTGATATTGATTATCTGCTTAAAACTTGTCCACATGATGAAGAATTATGTTCAAATTGAAGGCAAACAACATAAAAAGGGCCGCAGACATCTTTGAACAGATTGTGATCGACCTATAGGACTTTATATAAGTGGTAGATCCACTTGTAGATAGATGTTCGTTACAATGTCTGGACTCTCGTGATATTTCAATGTCAAATTTAATATTCTTGGCTTTTTTGATTCAATTGACTTTTTGTTTCTCTCGCCAGATATATTTTGATGAGCTACTACTCTAAATCATCAAAGTTGATATACAAATACCCAGAAGGGTTCATCATTGTCTGGATATTGACGTGATATTACTATCCCTCTACGTAGTCAGCCTTGTATAACAACGAAACATGTGTGTTGAAACCATTTTTTCAGCATTTGTTTTACAATGTATTTTCATCAATCACAATAAAATTGGTTTTCACATTCAAAAGTATATGTATATTACAATTTATTGATAAAGTATTGACTGATACTGAAGTCCATAAACAAACATAAATACAAAAAATATCCTTTAAGAAGTTGAATCGATTTCCTGTCTCCTAAATATGAACGAAGAACCCTTGTTATGAGACATGATAACCTTTTGACGCATTTTATGAGGTAATGCATTACGTTTCGGACGATTCCGAAATTTATAAGAAACCATATTTACCTTGGCAGCTGGATAATGTATTATTTTATTTTCTATAAAATAATTAAAGTCAATGAGAGGTACCCCGAATCTGTAGTTATATCATTCCTATTCAGGACCGTATTTCCGTTATTCCGATACTGATTGATTGGCAACAACCAGTATTCGTATTTTACTCATACGTTTCAAATACACTGTAGCTGTCTTGTTCGCATTTTAAACAAAAGTTATATTATAGAATGTTGACCGTGAGGAAAGTGGATATTTCATATCGTTTTTAATCAGGCTCTTTGCAAAACATGATGGATGGTTGAGTCATTATGGCCCCAAACACGGAGGCTAATGTTATAATGCAGAGCTCTGACGGATGACAACATAGATATTAGTTGGTATCATATGAATACCGTGTTATGCAGTGTCACAACGCCATCACATAAACCATGTTTATGTAACGAGTGTAATATCACTCTGGAAATGACGTCACAATCGAAAAGGAACAATCAATATGACGGTACGTCATTGTGAAGCGGACGCAGTTTTCATCGTTTCAGAGGCGGCCATGTGCAAACTATTCGTTTCAGATCACAATTATACAGTTTACTTTGTGTTATATGATAAAAAGAATCTGTCATTTGTTTCCCGAAAATAAAGGTAAACTTATGACAGATCCTCTTCATATTACATGCTTGATTATCACAAAGATATTTTAAAAAACATCGAGATCTGCTACTGTAACAGGTTGTTCCTACTAGCCTCTTGATGGTAGTTTATATCACTGTATGATATAGGTTAATTATATTTCTGTTTTTGTGAACACAGTTTTACAATAATAACCGTTTGCAAGGATGTGTTACCCACAGGCAGCTAAGAAATGTCATCGACGTCATTGTCTCCCGTGTAATTTTCTCGTATTGTGGTGTTTATTATGACCTTTTTTTGTGTAGCTATGTGACGTTGAAACCCTCTATAAACGTATTGTATTGCTGGTACGGGACCACTACTGTGTGGTCCTGTATGACCTTATTGTGTTGACTGACTGTTTAGACTACTTAGTGGTCCTGTATGACCTTATTATGTTAACGGACTGTTTAGACTACTGTGTGGCCCTGTATGGCATTGTTATGTTGATGGACTATTAAGACTACTGTGTGGCCCTGTATGACATTATTGTGTTGATGGACTGTTTAGACTACTGTGTGGCCCACATTATTGTGTTGATGGACTGTTTAGACTGAGTGGCCGTGTATGACATTATTGTGTTGATGGACTGTTCAGACTACTGTGTGGCCCTGTAAGATATTATTGTGTTGATTGATTGTTTAGACTACTGTGTGGCCCTGTAAGATATTATTGTGTTGATGGATTGTTTAGACTACTGTGTGGCCCTGTATGACCTTATTGTGTTGATGGACTATTAAGACTACTGTGTGGCCCTGTATGACATTATTGTGTTGATGGACTGTTTAGACTACGTGGCCCTGTATTACCTTATTGTGATGATAGACTGTTAAGACTACTGTGTGGTCCTGTATGACCTTATTGTGTTGATGGACTGTTTATACTACTATGTGGCCCTGTAAGATATTATTGTGTTGATGGACTGTTTAGACTACTATGTGGCCCTGTATGACCTTATTGTGTCAATGGACTGTTTATACTACTATGTGGCCCTGTAAGATATTATTGTGTTTTTGGACTGTTAAGACTACTGTTTGGTCCTGTTGTTTAGACTACTGTTGATGGACTGTTTAGACTACTATGTGGCCCTGTATGACCTTATTGTTTTGATGGACTATTAAGACTACTGTGTGGTCCTGGATGACCTTATTGTGTTGATGGACTGTTTAGACTGAGTGGCCCTGTATGAACTTATTGTGTTGATGGACTATTAAGACTACTATGTGGCCCTGTAAGACATTATTGTGTTGATGGACTGTTTAGACTACTGTGTGGCCCTGTATGACCTTATTGTGTTGATGGACTGTTTATACTACTATGTGGCCCTGTAGGACATTATTGTGTTGATGGACTGTTTAGACTACTATGTGGCCCTGTAGGACATTATTGTGTTGATGGACTGTTTAGACTACTGTGTGGCCCTGTAAGATATTATTGTGTTGATGGACTGTTAAGACTACTGATTGGTACTGTATGACATTATTGTGTTGATGGACTGTTTAGACTACTATGTGGTCCTGTATGACATTACTGGGTTGATGGACTGTTTAGACTACTGTGTGGTCCTGTATGACATTATTGTGTTGATGGACTGTTTAGACTACTATGTGGTCCTGTATGACATTACTGGGTTGATGGACTGTTTAGACTACTGTGTGGTCCTGTATGACATTATTGTGTTGATGGACTGTTTAGACTACTATGTGGTCCTGTATGACATTACTGGGTTGATGGACTGTTTAGACTACTGTGTGGTCCTGTATGACATTATTGTGTTGATGGACTGTTTAGACTACTATGTGGTCCTGTATGACCTTATTGTGGTGATGAACTGTTTAGACTGAGTGGTCCTGTATGACCTTATTGTGTTGATGGACTGTTAAGACTACTGTGTGGTCCTGTATTACCTTATTGTGTTGATGGACTGTTTAGACTACTGTGTGGTCCTGTAAGACATTATTGTGTTGATGGACTATTAAGACTACTGTGTGGCCCTGTATGACCTTATTGTTTTGATGGACTGTTTAGACTACTATGTGGCCCTGTATGACCTTATTGTGTTGATGGACTGTTTAGACTACTTTGTGGCCCTGTAAGATATTATTGTGTTGATGGACTGTTAAGACTACTGATTGGTACTGTATGACATTATTGTGTTGATGGACTGTTTAGACTACTATGTGGTCCTGTATGACATTACTGGGTTGATGGACTGTTTAGACTACTGTGTGGTCCTGTATGACATTATTGTGTTGATGGACTGTTTAGACTACTATGTGGTCCTGTATGACCTTATTGTGGTGATGAACTGTTTAGACTGAGTGGTCCTGTATGACCTTATTGTGTTGATGGACTGTTAAGACTACTGTGTGGTCCTGTATTACCTTATTGTGTTGATGGACTGTTTAGACTACTGTGTGGTCCTGTAAGACATTATTGTGTTGATGGACTGTTAAGACTACTGTGTGGTCCTGTATGACCTTATTGTTTTGGTGGACTGTTTAGATTACTATGTGGCCCTGTATGACCTTATTGTGTTGATGGACTGTTTAGACTACTTTGTGGCCCTGTAAGATATTATTGTGTTGATGGACTGTTTAGACTGAGTGGCCCGGTATGACATTATTGTGTTGATGGACTATTAAGACTACTATGTGGNCATTACTGTGTTGATGGACTGTTAAGATTACTATGTGGTCCTGTATGATATAATTGTGTTGATGGACTGTTTAGACTACTATGTGGCCCTGTATGACATTACTGTGTTGACGGACTGTTTAGACTACTGTGTGGCCCTGTATGACAATATTGTGGTGATGAACTGTTTAGACTACTATGTGGCCCCGTATGACATTACTGTGTTGACGGACTGTTTAGATTACTATGAGGCTCTTCAAGATCCTATTATGGTTATGTGACGTGAAGACTACCCTTTGCCCTGTGTGAACTAAATGTGTTTTTTGGACGTTGAGACTACCCTTTAACATTTTATGACATAACTAGTATTTCTTCACTCTCATATTTACATGTGCATGTCTAAAGGAAAGCTGTAGCTGCGGTATCCTTTGCATTGTCGTATAGTGATGTTGAGTAACCTCTAAATCGAGGGGTTTCGTCTTTGTTAATGTCGTACATATGGGGAGAATGCGAAGAAACAATTTCAGGAACATTGCTATCTCTTTATTCCTTTTCCACATTTTGACTACTTTTATATCACCGTCCCTCATGACACGCCCATCATTTCCCAAATATTTGTCTTGCAGGGTAAAAATATATCACAGTGCAATTACATGTTGCCTTTTTATCATTGTTAATTTACACTTGTGTAGATATCGGCTGTCATTTATTCACAAACAAGTTCTTACATCATTTGATAAATTTCGGTTTTTTATTAGAAAATCTTGACAGCAGACACATTAGGAAAAAACAGAAATCATTACATATACTATCGTCTACTAAATAAACAAAACATGACAGACTATAATCTACCGATAACACATGACAGATTACGATCTACCAGTAAAACATGACATAAACTATAATCTACAAATAGAACATGACAAAGGCTGTGATCTACCGATAACATATGACATTTGTGATACACTTCATTTGCCGACAATCTGTTTACAACATTCAGGATTAAATACTGGTACACGTTGCCCTTTGGAACATATATACACAATCAAACACTCCTTTAACACCTAATAAATAGAGAAGGTCTGAAATATAATTAGCCGAACTATGTATCCTTTGAAATTATAATAATTCTAATATATAAATATATACATGCCATTAAATCGTGTATATAACGTTTTGATGAGGAACATGTCTGGTTATGTTGCCTCCAACTCTTTAAGCGTTAAGTGTGGTTTTATATAACGCTTAACTTTATCTTTCCTGCAACTAATTTCAAATATATAACGTATTATTACATAATCCCATACGAAGGAATGAAACATCATATCTTTGAAAAAGTAAATTATCATTCAACATGCAGGTAAATCGTTAAAGTGATCATTTTAATTTTTTACCATCGATAAATTGCAACAGTTTTAACAAAATTAACAATTCAATAATCAAATATTTATTTTTACAAAATAAACATGCGGATATGAACAAGATGACGCAGATTCCGTGGTAAGACGGAATATGAAGACGTTGATATTCGGTAGGTAAAGGTTAGGAATGCTGAGGTTACATTACCTGTATATACAGGTACCGACATCACGTGACAGCGTTATGTCTGTGTTACCTATATGATGCCCGGCTCTGTATGCACTCGTCTATATACAGTCCAGGTTTACGTCGGCGCTATATAACTATGGTAGGTCGACATGTCACTATAACGTGAAGTTCTGATCAACTTATGAAAATGGTGCTATGTTTACAATTAAGATGACATCATATTTACTAATTTATGATTTAGTTACCGAAGATCCATATTTACTAATTTGAGATTTAGTTACCGTAGATCTATATTTTCTAATTTATGATTCAGTTACCGAAGATCTGTATTTACTAATTTGGGATTTAGTTACCAAAGATCCATATTTACTAATTTGGGATTTAGTTACCGAATATCTATATTTTCTAATTTATGATTCAGTTACCGAAGATCTATATTTTCTAATTTATGATTTAGTTACCGAAGATCCATATTTACTAATTAGGGATTTAGTTACCGAAGATCTATATTTTCTAATTTATGATTCAGTTACGGANTCCTGTATGACCTTATTGTGTCGATGGACTGTTTACACTCCTGTGTGATCCTGTATGACATTTCTGTGTTGATGGACTGTTTAGATTACTATGTGGTCCTGTATGACATTACTGTGTTGATGGACTGTTAAGATTACTATGTGGTCCTGTATGATATAATTGTGTTGATGGACTGTTTAGACTACTATGTGGCCCTGTATGACATTACTGTGTTGACGGACTGTTTAGACTACTGTGTGGCCCTGTATGACAATATTGTGGTGATGAACTGTTTAGACTACTATGTGGCCCCGTATGACATTACTGTGTTGACGGACTGTTTAGATTACTATGAGGCTCTTCAAGATCCTATTATGGTTATGTGACGTGAAGACTACCCTTTGCCCTGTGTGAACTAAATGNGTAGATCTATATTTACTAATTTATGATTTAGTTACCGTAGATCTATATTTACTAATTTATGATTTAGTTACCGTAGATCTATATTTACTAATTTATGATTTAGTTACCGTAGATCTATATTTACTAATTTATGATTTAGTTACCGTAGATCTATATTTACTAATTTATGATTTAGTTACCGTAGATCTATATTTACTAATTTATGATTTAGTTACCGTAGATCTATATTTACTAATTTATGATTTAGTTACCGTAGATCTATATTTACTAATTTATGATTTAGTTACCGTAGATCTATATTTACTAATTTATGATTTAGTTACCGTAGATCTATATTTACTAATTTATGATTTAGTTACCGTAGATCTATATTTACTAATTTATGATTTAGTTACCGTAGATCTATATTTACTAATTTATGATTTAGTTACCGTAGATCTATATTTACTAATTTATGATTTAGTTACCGTAGATCTATATTTACTAATTTATGATTTAGTTACCGTAGATCTATATTTACTAATTTATGATTTAGTTACCGTAGATCTATATTTACTAATTTATGATTTAGTTACCGTAGATCTATATTTACTAATTTATGATTTAGTTACCGTAGATCTATATTTACTAATTTATGATTTAGTTACCGTAGATCTATATTTACTAATTTATGATTTAGTTACCGTAGATCTATATTTTCTATTTTATGATTCAGTTACCGAAGATCTATATTTACTAATTTATGATTCAGTTACCGTCGATCTATATTTACTAATTTATGATTTAGTTACCGTAGATCTATATTTACTAATTTAGGATTTAGTTACCGAAGATCTATATTTACTAATTTAGGATTTAGTAACCGTAGATCTATATTTACTAATTTAGGATTTTGTTACCGCAGATCTATATTTACTAATTTATGATTTGGTTACCGTAGATCTATATTTACTAATTTATGATTTAGTTACCGTAGATCTATATTAACTAATTTATGATTTAGTAACCGTAGATCTATATTTACTAATTTATGATTTAGTTACCGTAGATCTATATTTACTAATTTATGATTTAGTTACCGAAGATCAATATTTACTAATTTATGATTTAGTTACCGTAGATCATTATTTACTAATTTATTATTTAGTTACCGTAGATCAATATTTACTAATTTAGGATTTAGTTACCGAGGATCTTTATTTTGTTTCCCAGCGTCCGGTGATATATATTTATCGTTTTAAAACTGTGTTAAACTCGTTTTCGAAAAGGAAATTGGAAACATATCAAAATCTTATTTTCGTGTATGTTTAAATTCGTCGGTTATCGCTTGGAAAAGTCCAATCCTTTCATACTTACTGGTACGGTTAAGCAAATTCAACTTACATCCTTTGTGTTTCCTCTGTTTTCAATCAAAAATTAAAATGTTTTGAATTCATCACGTTTACAAACTTATATGACATTGGACTGCAAAACACTGAAATATATATGTTTTAGTAATGCTTCGTGAACACAAAAATATACACATAAAACTGAACAAAATCACTACTGTATATATGAGAAATTACACTTCAAATTACACCACTCCTGTTGTATATCCATGTAGCAACACACACATTTAAACTTGAACCAAAAACACACCAACAACGACAAAAGCTGCCTAGTACTGTAAGGATTCGTTGACATTGCTAATGTATGAAATTCTGGAAACCTTCACCTATATCGTATATTTGTGGAGAGATTGTAAGTGTGCTATCTTACTTCGCCTGTATATGTATTGTGTATATGAAATAATGATCTCGAAAATTCTAACTATTAGAGAAAATGTCTTTAGAATTCCGATCCTTCTTCAACTGTAAATTGTACCATGTTGTTTGCAACCTTAATTGGTATTTTCAGTTCTAAATGATCGCAAAAAGTCAATTGTGTCAAAACATTTACAAATTCGAATAAAACCATCAGTTTTGTTTATCGTAGAATCTCGCGGTAGATGTAATTGCTTTTACTCATCCTACATTGATATACTATTAATTTTTGTTTTCTTATTTTCATAAACACTACAGAAAATGGTGAAAAAAGGAAAACAAAGGTTTAACAAATTTCAGCAAACGATGACCAAATATTCTAGATACTACCATCATTTGTTTTTATGACAAAGCATTAATTGCAATATACACACACATACTTGTCGACACAGTAAGCACCACAGCCGTACTAGCTACAATCACACGCCATGATGCATAGACATAATAACTTAAATCTTGAAATCTTGATAAAGTCGACGGATGAAACAAGAATGAGTTCCGAAACTTTAGCGCTCTTAATGCTATGATAAAAGCAATTAGTATGCCAACCTCGAAGTCTTGTTTTATAGTTTAAAAAAAAACAAAAAAAAATACCGTGTAATAGTTATGAGTGGTTTTGCAAAATTTCAATATGCTATACAGAATAATTTGTATATACATATATATATTTATAAAAACAATACCACACATATGCACAAGCGTCGTAGTTTAATTACCTCGTAATTCATTTTCGTTTTCGAGAAATTTGCTTAAAGGAGTTCTAATGAGCGATCACAAACACCATCAATAACTAAGAGATTTGAAGAAAGTTATAAATAGATTATAGTCACGTGATCAAGGTGCTTTGCACTAGTGGTAATTGTACAACGCTTGCAAAATAAAATATACAATTAACACATTTTAGAACCTGTTTAAAGATAAAATTTACTGTTGCGTACGGGCTACGAATTGGTATTACCCCTCCGTGCGTACGATGCAATCCATATCTACGATTTAATTTTATCTTTAAGAAGAGTTCAATATCCTACCTTACGCGATATATAAACTCACCAATAAGTCTTCCACACTCCGCTCTACTTCATTTTTCTTTCATGGACATGAGATATATATCATTATAACACTATGATAACACAAATATGTTAAATGAACACCTGTTCGCCCCTGAGTATCGCTTTCACAAATGATACAGCTAGATAAAAACACACCACTTTCATACAAATACCGCGTTCCTTGAGTATTTTATGATACAACGCACACATTACGTTGAAAATTCGTTAACTGCACAAATAAATGCATCTACACTACCAGCTAAATGACAAACCTCTGATTTCCCTTCAAAGGAAACACTGGTGTGCATTTAACCACGTGATATAACAAATACAGTTTCACGTAACATATAGTTACTTAATATGTGACTTAACACATATCTAGTCACTTAATATGTGACTTAACACATATCTAGTCACTTAATATGTGACTTAACACATATCTAGTCAATTAATATGTGACTTAAGACATATCCAGTCACTTAATATATGATTTAATACATATCCAGTCACTTAATATATGATTTAACACATATCCAGTCACTTAATATATGATTTAACACATATCCAGTCACTTAATATATGATTTAATACATATCCAGTCACTTAATATATGATTTAACACATATCCAGTCACTTAATATATGATTTAACACATATCCAGTCACTTAATATATGATTGAATACATATCCAGTCACTTAATATATGATTTAACACATATCCAGTTACTTAATATATGATTTAACACATATCTAGACACTTCATGATTTACCACATATCTAGTCACTTAATATATGATTTAACACATATCTAGACACTTCATGATTTAAGACATATCCAGTCACTTTATATATGATTTAATACATATCCAGTCACTTAATATATGTTTTAATACATATCCAGTCACTTAATATATGATTTAATACATATCCAGTCACTTTATATATGATTTAACACCTATCCAGCCATTTTCTTTATTTTATTTTAACCACATACTTAAATCATTTCAATCAATACAAATAGGTGATGGTGAGTTTGATTGTGACATCACAATGAAAATATTGCATCAATTTTACATGACAGATAACCCGTAAAACGGTGCTGGAATAATCCTTTGTTGCTTTTATTAACATGAACAGGAACTCACAATACCACTAAATGTGAATTGTGCATCGACCGGAAGTTGCAATAGATACGTTATTAAGGTTATTCCCTACACACGTGTACACTAGTAGTAGGTTACAGGAGACGTGGTGAGTTGAGTCATACCTTGGTAGTGGTACACAATGTCGTACCTGTGAAGTGGTACACAATGTCATACCTGGGTAGTGGTACACAATGTCATACCTGGGTAGTGGTACACAATGTCATACCTGTGTAGTGGTACACAATGTCATACCTGTGTAGTGGTACACAATGTCATACCTGGGTAGTGGTACACAATGTCATACCTGTGTAGTGGTACACAATGTCATACCTGGGTAGTGGTACACAATGTCATACCTGTGTAGTGGTACACAATGTCATACCTGGGTAGTGGTACACACTGTCATACTTGGGTAGTGGTACACAATGTCATACCTGTGTAGTGGTACACAATGTCATACCTGTGTAGTGGAGTGACGTATAAGGATATGCCATTATCGCCGACATTACTATTTTTCATTGTAATTCATTCACGTCTATCGGTTGGAATTAGCACACGTGACGCACTCGTAAATGTTGTTACTCCGAAGTATCTGTATTGTGTTGTTTTCAGGGTGTTGTTAATGTTCAATGAAATTTGAAAATAAAATTCAGCTTTCCGTTTTAAAATAGCAGTGTTTGACCATAAAATAGAAGAATTAATCGTCCTCGGTCGATACTGTTTCCTAAGGTCGGTAAGACCATGTAGCGACCTCATCAACATGCTATAATTGTATATTATGAATACTAAATGGGCAATACGGAAAAAAATGATAAAGGCCAATACAAAATGTCATTAAAGCGTTCATTTAAAATCACATTATGACATTATAACGGCCTTTTATATCTACAATATGACATTACAGTGTCCACTTAAATCAATGATATGACATTGTAGCGGCCACTTAAATCTATGCTATGACATTATAGTGGCAACTTAAATCTACAATATGATATTTTAGCGGCCACGTAAATCTACAATATGACATTTTAGCGGTCACTTTAAACTACCATATGATATCATAGCGGCCACTTAAATCTACAATTTGACATTTTAGCGGCCACTTTAATCTACCATATGATATCAAAGCGGCCACTTAAATCTTCAATATAATATTATAGCGGCCACCTAAATCTACAATATGATATCAAACGGCCACTTTAAGCTACCATATGATATCATAGCGGCCACTTAAATCTTCAATATAATATTATAGCGGCCACCTAAATCTACAAAATGACATTTTAGCGGCCACTTTAATCTACCATGTGATATCAAAGCGGCCACTTAAATCTTCAATATAATATTATAGCGGCCACTTAAATCTACATTATGACATTTTAGCGGCCACTTTAATCTACCATATGATATCAAAGCGGCCACTTAAATCTACCATATGATATCAAACGGCCACTTAAATCTACAATATGAAAATTTAGCGGCTACTTCAAAGCCAGACAAAACAAATTAAGCAGTCATTACAAAATCATACTATGACCCGATATAGCGCCCACTACAACAATCCGTCATAATGGGCACAACATTTTTGAAGTCATATTTAAGACATGACAGGCATGATCAACAAATATGAATGGAGCCTAGTCCATTCTCGAGACACTTGGTACCATTCAATAAGTTAGAACAAACTAAGATAAACGTGATAGTGAACGAAAAGGGATACTAAAATATAATTTAACATATAGTTTCGATCACAATAACATAACTAGATTTACACTTCATGAGACATAGCTATTCCAACATTTCAATTGCACATTATCCGGGTAGGTTTCCTAATACATCGTGTCAACTTCCCTTGTTTATATAACTATATAGCACATTTATTTCTTCGAAATTGATACCTCCATATTAATGGCATCAATGAGTGTTTTGTGACTTTTCATGGTATAGCCCGATGTTAACGTACACGCCTACTTTTTGTAAATGGAGAGTTTAGAACGCGATTCAATGAAGGTTACCATGAGCCCTTGATGGTCTCAGATTATTATACACAGATTATCGTAGTGAATTAAGACTAGCTTTTTAATCAGATTATCTCCCCCTTATACTCAAGTCACAGCTGACGACCTACCTGCTGTACTATGCTAGCAACATAAACGGAGCCCTATTCCTTTTACCCGTTTTCATTGAACGGCGTTTAAGTTAATACTCAATGTTCATTCAGTATGATTTTACAATTAGTTATTTTTTTATATATACTCATATATAATTAATATATTAAAACACGGTTGCCAAAAACGTTTACTTATTTACATATATTTAACATGTTTGCGGAACAACTTTAGTTATTTAAAGATCTAATTTAGAGTTTCTACATTTTTTCCTGGGATGGTTGGGCGAGCTTAGTAGGAAAATAATATTACTACGAAGACTATTAAACGACAAAAAACGTTACTAGATTAAGTGAACGTTTCTTACAATTTTATAACGCATTTTAAAAGCATTATTTTCTTTGTCATATTTGAGGTCAACGAATGTTTTCGTCTTGGCTCCAATGTAACAATTTATGACTTCTAAAAAGTCAGATTATACGGATCCGTCACAAAAAATGTGGCATTCATGAGAGTATAAAACCAAAAACCATATGATTCATTATATGTCATGCTTATTTACATTTAGTTATAGATTTTGGGACTATCAGGATATTTACGGAGAGAAAAATATTGAAAAATCTTTAAAACAAAATCAAAAAGGTGGAAAAACGCATACATTTGATACAATTTAAGTATATGAGCGAAACCAGGAACGATGTGAAAATCAATGAGTTGGACAGGTCTTTGAAATGTTTACTACCTTAAACATCAGGGAATCATATGATTGTTAAAGATGTACACATCATATTATGATGTAACAATATGTTGTATGGTTTGTTCAAGATATATCCAGGGCTAGTTCTTACTATGTTAGAGTAACTTCCCTTTGTTCATGATTATATGTTTGAATACAATGATGATGTTTTAAATACGAAAACTTGAAAGAACACAAAGTAAGACAAACCAGGTGTCAACAGGTATAATCCGACGACGATAAAATCCATGAACCAATACACATATTGGTGGGTATTCCGCACGCAGTTTTTATCAAATTCAATTACCTGAATGGCATTTCAAGTCAATATGCAATTGGATTTATTTCGAAAGCATCCTTCCTATAATGAATATTTATCTTACTATACTCTAAGAGACGGAATCGGTAAATATGTTACCCGTCCCCCTGACTGCTAGCAGTATTAGAGTGCCATTTGGGCGAAATGTCTTCGTATTTACTGACGGATGACTTTAATACCTCGGCACATTGTGGCTTAGTGAGTTGTTTCCAAAGGTTATGGAGTCGGGACAAAAGAGTAAAACACTCTTTGTTTGACAAAGGAAACAGACGTTTTCAAAAGCTCGCAAAAATGATTTAACTATTGTCTGTGTTCAAAATTAATTTAGCATTTACGAGAATCTAAATGATTTTAGATGATTTAATCCCAGAAACAGCCTTTTTATATCTTTTTTTCTCTTATTATTTAGATGGTTTACCTTACCATAAGACTTTTGAAGCGTACCTAATTTGACAAAGTACCTTTATTTACTTACGTAATATAAGATTAAGTTATTTCTTCAAATAAGAACAATTTTTTTTTTTTTGTTGAGTTTAACTTTTCGTAATTTTGTATGAGAAGCTTGTCAATTTGTCTATCTTCGTGTTTTCTAACCGTTTATAGTGTATATCAAAGATAAGAGGACATAGTGAGTATAAAATGGAAAAAAATACCAGTGTGGATAATATTTTTCCTTTTTCTAAAGGTATAATTCAATACAAAGACTAGATAAACTACGTATACAAACATGTGAAACGGGATTTACAAGTTGGATTGAATAGATATATTGTGTGGTTTTATTGAGGTTAAATGACAGCTAGTGGTCCTTAAAAATGACACGCTACTTTTAGTCAATGTGAATAATGTTTTTGCCGAATTATATTGATGAATGTTTCAAGAAGATTTCTTGGAACCTATAGATACTTCCGGTTTTATTATGCTTGTTGACATGAGTGACTACTATTCAATCTGCTGGAATTATGCTAAAACCTGGCTCCAAGGTCTTGAAAGAATTATGACCGTAGTCCAAATTTGAATATTATTTAATATCTTATTAAATTATCATTTAACATAAGTGTACATGTACACATCGTAAGTGTGTACCGTGTCCTCTCATGTTGCACGTCATTTAATACACTAGTTCTCAAGAGACATATTTATCTTACCGACATTTCAAATTTGGACTCAATATTAAGACTGCTTCTTGGCCTTGGTGCCAGGTCCAAAGAGAGCTCTCGATGACGTATCCCAGTACTGGACGGCTAATTGAAATAAATAGGTGTACTACCTAGCGGATCGTAAGCTATAAATCAGGGTTATCCTGACCAGACTTAATAATTCGTTACCATGATAACAATACATCAAAGACGCTCAGTACATTTTTCAATAATATAGCATCAATGTTCCCATATAAACACTGCCGGCTTTCCCACCAGAGTTATAGATCGTTACCATGGTAATCACACACTGTTAAGGTGTTACATACAATTTTAAAGATATAGCAACGATTGTCCAATTGCCACGTTGACTTATTTCCGATCAAACTTATATAAATGAACTCGTTACTATGGTAACAATTCATTAAAAAGACCGCATACGTCTGTCTGAAACGACGATTTAGAAGCAATGCATCCTTTATGACTCCTGAGGGTTTATTTTGTCTGAAGTTTCCTTTTTGTCCAACCATTTTTTCTTCATTCGATGCTCCAGCTAGGCCAGGGTTATCAGCACTTTAATATCTACCTCACTGGAATAGCGTCAACCGGTTACTACCGCAGAGCAAGGGTGCTGATGAGTATGACAATAGATGTTGCCATGGTGAAAATGGCGCTTGATTTTGATTGTGCGCCGTTATATTCTACAACAAAGGAAAATATAGATACATAATATATTAAACACTTGACACACTTAAATGAATTATGAAAATGTTTGTTATGATGTATCATGACGTAAAAAATGTGAAATAATATTATATAAACAACCAAATATATATAAAACACTATTAAAATATGTGTAAACTAAAATCAAAACAAAACTTAATCACAAAATGCGGTTAGGTTAAATATTGTATCGGTGAAGGGTAAATGTATAACAGTTCAGATTTCAAAATAATAAATAATTACAAAAAATAATTAAATTTAAAGTTCTCAAAGACGTAAGTGTTTGTTGAAGTCTTTGCCGTAGCAGCATTGTTTAACATTAAGTATATTAGTCATTTTATATAATTATATAATTGTTTTAAAAGACAATCTACCATTACCTAAAGCAGCCGTTTTGTTGACGTTGCAGTTTTTCCCGGTACATGGTACTTCGTAAGGGGCGTCAGTCACGATCGGTTCTAAATTACAATATAAAATTTATACCTTAATAAGGTTCCTTCTTCAAACAAAAACAAACGCAATACATTAATCCCATAAAAGCACCCTAACTTAAAATTTTAATCCACGTTTATAGAAATATTTGAGATTTTTTTTATTAGTACTTATGAGACAGTACCAACAATATGCCACTTGCAGTAAAGTGGCAAAAGAAAATGGCATGAAATTCAACGAAATATATTTTAAGTATGCATGTCTCACTACATGATACGTTAATGGCGATTCAACTGTATTTCTTATTTATTGGACGTTGACTTTGGTCGTACAGACACTTTAACGTTAAAACTAATTTTGAAAATAAGACTTTCTTAAGGTATGTGCTGTGCGAAGCCATATACTTGGATATCAAAATTCCAAAAGAGTTCCTTTTAGTATTTCGTTGGGTCCATTTATAGAACCACGTATGTTCTGTGATATTGACTATCGGGGCCATGACCAGGAACTCAGTTGATTAAACTTTTATTGACATTATGTTACTTTATATTACGGAGCTGAGACAAATACCTCATGATCAGTCGATCAAACTTCTATTTCTTCTATTGGCAGAATGTTACAACATATTAAAAGAGCTGAGATTAACAGCTAACGATCAGTCGATCAAACTTCTATTGACAGAATGTTACACGATATTAACAGAGCTGAGATCAACAGCTCACGATGAGTCGATCAAACTTCTATTGACAGAATGTTACACGATATTAACAGAGCTGAGATCAACAGCTCACGGTCAGTCGATCAAACGTCTATTGATATAGTGTTACACTTTATTAACAGAGCTGAGATCAACAGCTCACGATCAGTCGATCAAACTTCTATTGTTATAGTGTTACACTATATTAACAGAGCTGAGATCAAAAGCTCATGATCAGTTGATCAAACTTTAATAGTCAAGACCTGAACATTGGTTATGTCACAGTCGGGCGGGATTAAATGTTAAAATGATAACCGGAGACACGTATTCTTATACATCAGCAAATGATGGCATACAAGCGACGTGTTTAACTTTGGAGAATTGACCACATCATACACATTTAAATAAAAGATATACGGCAAAGAAGTAAAATAACATAAGAAATGAAGGGATAATGGTTTAACCAATAACGGGAATGCAATGACAAGTTCAGTCTCTGTAGTGAATATCAACAGAAAATCATAAATATTTGAAAATACAAACATAACCACAAGAATGAAAAACAGATATAAGAAAACATTCGACTAGTATAGTTACATCATAGACGCGAACCTAAGAAATTGAAAAACCGAGACAGACTAAAAGAACAGAAAGCAGAAAAACAGGTGACTTCTTATACGGTTTCCATTTTCGTTTTAAATGTGTCTAATTGTGTCAATACTCCTTACAAAATATGATTCAAATGAAAAAAAAAATGCAAATAATGCAAACCGATTATTTGTTATCGTACTTTCAAGATGAAGTAAGATTTGAATGTGGCCGTTGGCGGTAGAACTACATATTCAAAATATCATACGTTATCGCATTTGTAAAAAAAGGGTTTTCAAACGTTTGTATAAAAATAACCGACATCCAAGAAATAAATTCAGAATTTTAAATACCAGCATGTTTTATTTTGTTGGGTAGTCGTGGTTCGAGTGCAACGGTTGTTGATTCAACTTTTGATATCAACCTGTATTTTTTAATCCTAACTTCAGTGTAGCTATTTTCATTTTATGCAGAAAATGACATATTTGACTTATGTATGGACATACCTGGTGTTTCCACGGTTATTTCGTCTTTGTATTGATGATTTTCATTTTCAATGAGTGGTCCCTCCACTCTACACTGAAACACACTTCCGCTTGTTTCCTCAGTTATCGACGCTATTATCTGTTGGTTAATAACTGGTACGCATGTCTCACTTTTCTGGTCTTCCGGGTCAATCATGGAGGAGATAACACTGAAAGCCTGGTCATCTGGGTGCTTGACGTACCACGTGACCTGCGCTGGAGGGATACCCAAACTAACAACACACTCAAGCGTGAAATTGAAGTTTTCCTCCACCCGCAATAGTTCCGAGTTAATAGAAGGTTTTCCTGGAACAGCTGAATTAAAGTTACAAAGTTTTAATATTACTAAAGTTTTGATATAACAATGGTTTTTGATGTGGCTTATTATCATGTATTTCCATTTGCTCTGCATTGCCTCTATATAACTTTACCAAACAAAATATGAAGATATCAAATCATAACTCGCACATAATTCCCATTGGTATAGTGATTTGAAGAACATGTTTGCGACGTCGTGACTAAATTACGTCGTTTTGACCGACTTCACTTTATTAAGTGTATTATTGACGACACGAAAAAAATGTCGCCATACCCATTCCTCATGGTTAACGATCCATGCTACCGGATTCAAAAAACCCAGTTGATCAATATAACTCGTAACAATAATGTCGTTATGTTGTATAAAAGGTGAATATCCTCACAGCGGAATATATTGATTAAATTGTTGAAATTAAATTGATTATTTTGTGTTTATCTCCACGAACTATATATTTTTTGCCGGGAACAGTCGCGTGTACTTATGACGTCAGAACAGGTTCCATTGACAGACAGCACGAAATTTGACTTTGAAATGCGATTACAGTTTGGAAATATAAGACAAACTTTAATTAAACACGGAAATATAATTATCCAACCACCTTCTTTGGAAACTTTTTGTCCTATAATTCTCACAGGATTGCAGACAAATTGAATAACGCGCGTTAACTTTCCAAAGAAAAGGCAGTTTAATGCATAAATAAACCACTTAAAACATTCAACAACCACTCGAAATCGTTTTTAATTATTTGAAATTCACCACATTGACTTGTTCCTATAAACAGCCATTTGCTAGAACAGTTGATTACTCATGATCACTCATATGCACATATGAACACGTATGCCAATTTACTAGAAATCCTGACCGCCCATGGTTATTCGCATGCACTCATCAACAGTTTCAGCATTATACTAGAACTTGTTAACACACGTGATTACTCATATGCACCCATATACACTTATAGCAATTAACTAGAACACGAAATCACCCATGGTCACTCACAATCACTTACAAATCAATAGTTAACCCACCAAAAACTAGCAACTAACAACAATTCACAATAAGATGAGACCGTTCGACATATCCTTTTTGATTTTCTATTACCTTGCTACGTAAAAGACTACAATATCTACCTGTTAAGATTATATCGTCGACCTATTTCTGCAAAGGTAGTGTCAACGACATGCTGTTCCCATCAGATATACATTGACAGTGGTTATATATAATCCTGGGGTCATATTAAGGCATGTCACGTTTACAATTTCACGATGAATTTATTTCATATTTTAAAAATGACTTACCCACAATGCCTACTTCTGTTGTCTTAGATATGATGCTAGAGCCGGTCACCACGCAGACGTACGTCCCCACATCTGTACACTCGAAATCGTATAGTTTTATGTTAAAGTTGATCGAAGTTGCATTATGGCCGACATTTGTTCGTCCTCTAGACTTCATGTTTTCGTCTGCCCATGACGGCGATAGGACGACATCGGGCGGGAACAGACCTGTCTTCATACTTTCCGACTTTGGCGGCAGGTTCACCAAGATGATTTCCTCGTCGTTATTGGGTAGCCGTTTTCTCCACTGCATGACGTACCACGTCTCCGTAGGCTGGAATGTACAATCAAGGTCGACCGTGCCTCCTAGCATTCCCTTAACGTTCGGTTTGGTGATTAAGGTACCTGAAAAAATAATTAATACAATAAGATTGTATATAGTTATTTGTATCAGAATGCATATTTTCTTTCCAGAGTCACAATGTGCAACTTGGTCATGCTGTAGGATTACGATTAAAAGCCAAATAGAGAAATGTACCAAGGGGCAAACACACATGACATAAAGACCAGCACAAAATGGAATGCAGTTGACCTTGATAGGTACATTGTATGCTTTTACATCTTATCTTACTCTACTGTTCTTTTTTCAATGATCTCCATGTCAATATTCCTTTGTTCATATTATGCCTTAGTTCTAGCGACTTTGAGTTCAAGGTATGGTTTTGTTGATACTACAGTATCCGTTTGGTGTTCCTTCAGAACCACGCGAGACACCACACAGGAATTGAAAACATTATAATGGTCAACAGTCCTCGGCACAGTGAACATAGCTATGCTTTTCAGAACCACGCGAGACACTACACAGGAATTGAAAACATTATAATGGTCAACAGTCCTCGGCACAGTGAACATAGCTATGATCGTAGACATCACTGCGATAAGGACATGACAACAGTAAAACTTCTTCAATAGGGATGAAGACTTGAACAAACATGTGATGACGTTTGACGATAAAAGCACTCAACTACTACACTCCTTCTAGGTGTTCATGGTAAATGATAGTTATACCTTAAGCATACGGAGGCGTTAAAGTCTCCTTAAATGATTTACATCCACGCGCGTTGCTGGATTGTAAAAGATGTGCATGCAACGTTTATCATCTAGCCTCCTCCAAGGGATCCCTCCCGAACCGCCGATCCCAAATCTCAACTTAAAGACATAGACGACGACTCATGAACACTTTAAATAGTTGAACAGAATCACTCAAAATTACAAATCACCAAACATAGCTGTTACGATAAGGTATTGTAAAGCTATTTTATTAAAAAGGTACATTTGAGGATTGCTGACACTCCTTAATTGCTTACATGGCAGCTTCGCGTTTGACATTTTCTATTTTTTCAGGATTTGACTTCTTGGCAACCTCAATACCTTTTACAGAGTACTGCCCTGATGATGACTTAATTGTGTCGATTGGTCGTTAAACCACAAACAACAGAATATTACTGTAGTCTCCGACCTTGCTAAGCGGTCGTACATATATTTATATATGGCATTAATGTAGCTTTTTTACTTTATTGAATTTCAAATTAAAATGAAACATTATATACAAAAAATGTAATGTAGTAAAAGTCATACAAGGTTTAAAGAAAAAGGAAAATGAATCACGCATTTATAATATTAGTTTTAATTCTCCAAAGAGAGACAGAAGGCTGAGTTGTTTTTTGGGAAACATCAGAGAAAGCAATTTGGTTTTAAGTATCCTAAGTTACACCAGTAATCTCCAAAATGTCTAGCCCTGAACAATTGATAGCGTAAGATAATGCAAAATGCCAAATCGTTTCTTTTTAATTCTTTAAATTTTCTCATTTATGGCAGCTTGTTTGCATGCAGATTAACAAAAAATGATGAAGTCCATCACTTTTAAATTCGTTACGAGTTGTTCGTGTCTGAACAATGTTTTCTGTGTGGTCTGTGTAATTCTACTGGGACTCGGTTTGACGAGTGAGTCTTAACAAGAACGTTTAAAACAATAATCAATGATAATTTCTGAGAAGAATCACCGATTAATTCATACCTCAAACCCAATAAATTCACAACTAAGCCATTAAATTCACAACTAAGCCATTAAATTCACAACTAAGCCATTAATTTCATTAATTTATGTGGGTAGACGTTACACGGGGTTTATTTCTACATTCACGGATACATTTTGTAGAGTTCGATATTGAAGTAACATTAAAACCAACACCGACATCACAAACGAGTAAATACAGAATGTTTGCTGTGGAATACATTTAGAAAATAGTTTTAAATGCTCCAGCAAAATAATATCTAAATTGAACAAATACTTCGTCTTTTCAGATTGTTATCTTAACTCTTTATCAATAAAACATTCCAAAATTGTAATAATGTGATGTTTATGTAGTTAATACGTTTACAATGTACCATCAAATAGGACTTACAACGAGACCTTACAGCATAGCTAACATCAGCAATTAAGTAATCGAACTTTTATGATGCAGACAGGTCTTTAAACAGTATATGCAGTATTGCTGATGTCGTAATTTCAAACCTTTGACAAGGTCAACTCACCATAGGGTGTGGATATACTTTAAAGAATGACAGTTATATATTTTTAAAACATAGGCCCTACATCATTTATTTAGAACAAAATTTCTATTATTCAGGCAAATCATCATAAAAAGACTTCAGCAATGTAATGAAGGATATTATTACGGCGGTGAATATAATTAAAGGTGTTGATTAGGTTAATGTCTAGACTCCTATACTAGTTATATTAGGATGACATTCTAATCCCGAACCATTTACTTCTATAAGATACACAGGTGGCACATTAAATAATATAATTCAAATACACGTTCTTATATTTGAACAACTACGACTCTTCTTTGATTATTGAACTGAATATCATTCCAGACATTAGTGTTCTCGTTTTAAGGTCTAATTCCTCGAATGAGAGGTACTATTGAATCTTTGACGGCGGTATGAGAACCCCTCTGGGTTGTATAGTATGTGTCAATTATGTCATGTGAATTTATCGTAAAATGACTCCTGCATATATAATTACAGAAATTAACTGGTTTAAGTGTCGCACGGGGTCGTTCATTAAAGATCAATAGCTAACCACTTGTTTTACCACTCCTGACGAGGAAAGGGCCGCATTTCATTGATGACCTCAAGAGAAAATCGATTGAGAATCGGAAACGGAAGCATGCAATGGCTACGAGTAAAACGGTTAAAGAGATAATCCATTATGGGAATTTGCATGAGCTAGACAAGAAATGTGCTAATGCAATTCCTTCCAATTGGTTTCAGTTAGGTTTGACCATATTCTAGTCGCTGATGTGTTACTTTAAAAATGAAATAACTTTGGACATAACATGTTCTTTCTCTGGGGTTTAGGGTGGCAAAATAAACAGCCATTGAATCTGTTGTTTCACGAAGTGCATGCTCTCTACTTCTATCTCTGAATGTATCTTTGCAGCAAGAATAAGCCGAATATACAAGCGTGATATCCCTGTGTGTCTTTATAGCTTACCTTAGGAACGAGTTCTATCTAATGTTTGTGTCCGCGTGTACCTTTATCAACAACATCTTCCATATCGATCAGTTATACTAATTCTGTTAATATACATTAATTATTTATTCCGAAATATACAGGTATTCACTATTGAAAGTCAGATTAATTGTAGTTATTTTATAATTGTTACATGCAACGTGAAATAACACCTATACCCATTTAAACTTGATTTTAAACAATATGTTGTCATGAATTCGTTTCAAGCACAAACATTACAGTGTGTTCACATATTTTTTCTAGACAAACGTCTTAAAAAACAATATATTACATGAGTTTCCACAAACAGTGGCCAGTTCTAGCAAAGGCACAGAGGAAATAATTATTTATAATTCCTGACATTCAAACTTTTTTCCAATGCAGAAGACCAAGAAAAATGGTTTTGTCTTGAACTGAAAATAAAAAGTCTATATCAGTAATGCTATGTATGTGACTGTGTTACTTATATATAGATGTAATAGGGTCGATTTTAATACCGCGTTAGTTCTGCTGTTTCGGTATAAATAGAATTGCGCGAAACCGCACCTTGGCGTCGTAGACAAGAAGCCACTAATGTTATATATACCTGTGTATGTATGTCCAATTTACCTGTGTGACGTCATTGATTTATGTGTTCATGTATTGTGTCGTTTTGGTTCACGTGGTTGTGGTCAGTTTTGTTCGTGTTTGGCGGGAGTTAAATAGAGGCAGCCATTGCCGACAGGCGGACAGATGACAGTGTCGTTTTGATACAGATTTTAGCTGATACATTGTCCTGGTAATCCAGACGAAATTCTTACT